TATGATGGGCAGAACCACTGTCAAGAACCCAAGACCTTGTCAATGCTGCAGTCGAGCGTGGAGTGTCGACCTGCTTTGTCGTTGTTGTCGTCTGGGCAGTCTTTGATGACTGCTTGACAGTGTCGTCATGCTTTCGGATCGCAGTTGGTGTGGCCACCGACTCTTTGTTGTGTCGGTAGTCGTACAGTTCGTCGTACCATAGTTGTGCCTCTTTTTGACATTCTCGTAAGGCCTCTGCACTATCATCCCACCATTTTTGTGGTAATGGATCTGGTACTTTGACGATGTCACCCTCATTCGGCAGCTCTTTCCACCTGTCCAGTCTGGCTCTGCCAGATATGGTATGGAAATAGTAGTCCACGTTGCGTACGTCGAAGCGTATCCGACGACGTATCTTGGTAGATGTCGCTGTGGCCTTGGTGTTGGCCATGAGGGTCTTGTCGCGGATGACGCAACTGCGGTCTGAACGGCGTGAATGTCTAAAGTTGGCAGGAGAACGTGCTCTAGTGTTGGGTGAACCACGGGACGATCCGCGGCTCGGATACCGCTTGCCACGTCCTTTGTCACTGCCATATGATCTATCACGGCCGCGTGGACTGCCGCGTCCGCCGCCACGATTGTCTCGTCCTCGGGAGGTAGATCTCGAAGATCTGTCGTAACGACTTCTCGATTGGCTGCGAGAGTCTTGGGACCTCCTGGATGTCGAACGGGATCGGTCGTATTGGCGTCGGTTGTCACGTCCCTGTCGTGAATCGCTTGCGCAGCGAAACCCCCCGCGTTGTGAAGACCGTTGGCTTCCTGATCCGCGGGATGGCGATCGGCCACGGCTGTCCTGGCTGGAAGTCCGCGGTCGACTCGGGCTTCGTTCAGGAGTCTTTGCACCAGGTGCGAGATGAGCGTATTTGCATTTGTCGCCTTTTGTGCACTTGTTCTGTGCGAAATCCTTGCACTGTGCGACGTGCGGGTAGTTACACTTATCACCTCTGGTACATGTGTTGCGCTTGGCAAAATCGAAGCAGAACGGCCTTGATGCTGGCTTCTTGTGATTCGCAGGAGTGGACATACTACGGCGGGGGTTGCCACCAGCCGTTGATGTTCTGGAAGATTTGTTGTTCTTCCAATCCCTGGAATATGTATGTAAAGCCTTGCACCGTTCACCATTGCGACAATTGCCTTTCTTCCATGCAACGCACACGTTGACCTGAGATCGTGTCTCGTGTTCGTACCGTAGCTTGTTTTGATTCTTCTCCAATTGTTTAATCTCCAGTATGTCCAGGACACGCTGTCGAAGCCAACCGTAGGTACGATTCGGGTCGCTCATCTTCATGCGCTGGTACTCGTACATGTCTTGTTTCATCCATGCATGTCTACGAATCTGTGTGCGGAATAGCGATTCCAATATCTTTGGATCGGGTACTTCTCGGCATTCCAAGAGTAAGGCGTCCCAATCGGTAATGAAACGTTGCAAATCTTCGTCTCTCATCCTCAGTTCTTTAAGGCGCTCGAAATCGTGCAGGTCGTCGTCGACGTCTGTCACTTTGTAGGACTGTAGGATATGCCAGTATATCTGGCGTCCTTTGAGCATGCGTCCTGCTTTGTGCTCTCTGGTCTCGATGAGCCTGATTTGGTAGCGTAAGTCTGAGGATAAGATGTCGCTCAGAGCGGTTGCGAGTTTGCAATCGATGCTCTCAAAGTCTCCACTGTCTTGTAAATCCTCGAATGTACATTCGGGCTGTTCTGCCACGCATAGGAAGGCGTATGCTTTGGATGGTCGCCCTGAGGCGGCCCCGAAGTTCTTTCGCACTCTTTGCTGCCATTCCAGCAGCTGCGTGATCTTAGGCAAGACAGGTACTCGAACGGTGTCTGACTCCTTGATAGGCGTCGTTGTATGTACCGACACCGCAGACACTGGTTGTGAGGGTATCGGTGCACCGTCGATGGTTGGTTCTGTGCGCACAGGAGACACATGTCGTGTCTGTGCAGAAACTGCCGCGGAGGCTGCTCCTGGAGATGTACGTCGTTGTTGTCCTGCTGAAGCTTGTGGTGCTTCGGCGGACGCTGCCGTCGGCCTGTGCGGGTCGGCTGCAGGTCGAAGGTGAATGTTGGTGTCGTTAGTGTGGTCGATCAGCTGATTCGTCCAGCTCGTCATGTCTTCTTGTATTTGACCCACCTTTTGGCGTGTGTACTCATCAGTATCCCGAGAACGTTGTGAATACCGATCAAGTCGATGCTCGCATGCTCGGAGACGGGCGCTTTGTGCCTCCACTTCGCTTTCCAGACGTGCGAGGTAACTCTCTACACGTACCTTCTCAGTATCTCTTTCATGAATAACCTGGGAGAGCTCTAACTGCGCGTGGTCCGCCGCCTTCTCAACCTCCTGCAACCTGTCAGTGAGGCGGGCGAAATCGTAAACCGCGGGAGGAGAATCCAGCTGATCAGTCTGGGCTCGTCCGACACGCAACTCTGCCAGGGCGTCCTGTACACCAGGGAAACGCCGCTCTATGTCAGAGATCCGGTTAGCGAGCGGCTGCACGACAGCGTTGGTCGCATCAAGCCTTTGAGTGATGACTCTCTCAGTACGCTGCAACATGTCGATCAGGTTCGACGAGTTTGTGTGTGCTTCGGTACGAAGCGTCGCCGTAGTGCGGTCTAGGTAAGATCGAAGATCATTGCTCTGAGACTGAACGTCGCCGAGGTCTGTGGCCTCGGTTGGGGTTGGTCGGTTACGGAGCTGGTCGTGGATCTCATCGTGTAAAATCCTGACCGCAGAAATGCCTGTGTCGCGTACGATCACAAGTTGTTGCTCCATCTGCGCGAGATAGTTGCGCAGGTTCTCGACCATCGCCGTTCGTTCACCTGAGTGTGACACCTCACGATCAACCTGGCACTGCAGTTCTCCTATGATGCGTATATCTTCGGCGATCCTGGAATCGATGATCCCTAAGGCGCCGTCAAGATCGCGGCGTATGGCTGCAGTATCCGTGGCATTCGTCTGAACGCTCTGTAGTAGTCCAGAGTATTGGCTGGACACGAAGGTTTCAACCTGGTCTCTGAGCTCAGCTATGTCACCTGCGGCGGACGTCTCCGCCGGCTGGTCGTCTGAGATGGAGAGGTGGGGAGCGTCAGCTTCCCTGTGTCCCCTGTCGCGGGGAGCGCATGGCCTCTGAGAGGCAGTACGCGGGCTCGACCTGCGCTCGCCGCATGGGCCTGGGGTTCCACGGCGGTTGCGCGCGGACGAGCTGCGACTCGGACCATGCGTGTGTGATGTCTCATCCGATGATACCTTGGGGTACCGCGTCTGTGGCTGCGCCGACACTGGTCTACTGAGTTCCTCGAAGGTAGCTACGTGCTCCGCCACAGGGACGGTCGCAGGGCTGGGGGTTCCAGCACCTGAGGTCCATCGGCGGTTAGCGCGGAAGCGCCCTGGAGTATCGAGACCGGTAAGGCTTTCGCCTGACGCGGTTGGGATTGCTCCCGACGGGGAAGGGGAGGGAGGATCAAAGGTCGGCGTGTGAAACTCCTTCCTTCCTGTTCCTACTCCTTCTCCTGTCCCCCCGCGGGCGGCGCTGCGGCGAAGTTCAACAGCTAGACGCGTTCGGGTCCTCGGGAGCTGGGGGGGGTATCGGGGACACCAACACAGTCCGCACTAATGCTCTCCAACTCGTCACCGAGCCGTCGCACCGTGGGAGAGCTTGGACGCGAAGCCCCAATGGAACCCTTACGGCGCATGCGCCGAAGCGGCTCCATTGGGCTCGCATGCAAGGTCACCGCGGGCGAGTCGGTGAAGGTGAGCGTTAAAGGGCTGATAACCTGTGTATGGGGTTGAAGTACAAGAGTACAGAACCCCTGATCCGTTGGTAGAGAGATGGAGGGATAGATGGATATTTTTCCCTCCCAAGCGATCAAGGTACGATCGCTCCAACTCAGTACCTGAGCCCAAACGGCCAGGTGCGGGAGAGGTAAGGATAAGGAGTATATATGAGGGTATTACACGGGTTCCATACACAGGAGGGGGGAAGGGAGAAGGAGCAGGCCTACTCAGCAGGCTCGCGAGTCCCCCGGCCCTCTGAGAAGTGTTCTCGGCCTTCCCCGAAGGCACACAAGACACGTCTCGGAAGGCCGGGGGGCTTCTGAGGAGCACCGCCGCCGTCTGAGAGGGCCTTCCTCTCCTGACGTCCTCCCCTCGCGCGCCGCCGAAGTTGGCTTTTGGGTCATAACTCGGGTCTCCAGCGGCCGTTTCGGGACGATCCGGGCACCCCCGGAACGCCCGCGGCGAGGCGCAGCTGCTGGCAACCATCCCGAGATTGGAAAACCACCGAGAACCGACGAAAAAGTAATAAAACATGCACCTCGAACCCGAAAGTTTCCCCCCTCGCTCGCCGCCGACAGAAGGGACGCGGGATCAGCACGTGCGCAAGTGGGCACCACAGGCTGCCGTGCGTCGCCTGTGGCGACTCCCTCAACGTCAACGTCAACGTCCTCCTCCTCCTCCTCCTCCTCCTCCTCCTCCTCCTCCTCCTCCTCCTCCTCCTCCTCCTCCTCCCACTTCGGGATACGTCAACGGAGCACCTCACAAGACCTGGCCGGGCCGGGCCGGGTCGGGCCGGGCTGAGCCGATCCGGGAGGGCACGAACACCTGCAGCAGGAGCTCGGCCACAAGAAACCCTCCACAAGAAACCAAACCCTGAAACCCCAGGAGATTCCTTGATTTTTGGATGTGGGGACGTCACGCTTTCAATCGCAAAACAAACGAAAGAAACCCAGGGCACCCTGGAGGCAAGCGGGGTGTGTCTTGGCATGGGTTTACGCTGCATCCTGGGACGAGGATGGGTCAGTCGACGTCCCCCGAATGTTCGTCTCCAAGATTGCAGATGCAAGCCTGCTTGTGACAATTGGCTTGCACCTCGGCTGGGAACGTGTACGGACATGGGCCGCGCAGGCGCACGGAGGCGCAGGCCACGCACTGCCCCACTGCATGGACGTGCGCAGGCCGCTGCGTCCTTCTCGGACGTGATGCCACCGCCTGATGTCGAGGGCCTGCGGGTTTGTGTGGCCCTGGCACGGGGGGGGAGGGCGGGCACGCAGTTCAACTTTCGGCCGGCTGGCGTCGCTGTGACGGCCAGTAGGGATCCTCACCGCTCTGATCCTTCTCCTCCTGACGTTTCTCCTCCTCCAGCTCCACTTCTTGCTCCCTCTGGACATACCCAGAGACCGGGATGCTCAGACGTCGCACACCCAAAGACCGGGATACTGAGACGTCGGAACTTGCACTGGCAACTCCTTATGATTTCCTATGTGACCACTACGCCCTGAAGTGGGTCGCCAGACGGGCGTGCACGAACGGCCCGAGTGTTGCACGATGACCCATGCGAGACGGCGCTGTGGCAAATCAAACTGACAACCGATTGAGACGGCAATGGCACAGAGGGCAGTGACCTGAGTGACCTGAGGCGCGCCTGGCCGTTAGGCGAGCAGGGATGGGTACCCGAATACTCAATACTCACGCCGCAGCAGACGTCAGCCACCTCCTCATTCCACTCTACTCCTACCTCCATCCCTCTCTCCTCCTCCTCTCCTCTCATTCCCTCCTCCTCATCATCCTCCCTCCTCTTGCCTCCGCTCCTGCCCTTCCTCCTCCTCCCTCCTCCCTCCTCCTCCTCCCCTTCCTCCCTCCTCCTCCTCCTCCTCCTCCTCTCCTCCTCCTCCTTCCTCCTCCTCCTCCTCCCCTCCTTTCCTCCTCCTCTCTCTTCCTCCTCTCCCTCCCTCCTCACCTCCTCCTCCTCCTCCTCCTCCTCCTCTTCCTACTCCTACTCCTCCTCCTCCTCCTCCTCCTCCTCCTCCTCCTCCTCCTCCTCCTCCTCCTCCTCCTCCTCCTCCTCCTCCTCCTCCTCCTCCTCGCTCCTCCTCGCTCCTCCTCGCTCCCGACCTGGTGCTCCAGGGAGTCCGTGGCTGGGGGTGGGCGTGGCCTTTGGGGGGGCATTGACCACCCCCAGTCTCCCAGCCTGAGGAGCGGGGCGCGCGACGGGGCACCTCCCCGAGCCTGCTGGGCGTGCGCCTCGTCGCCACGAGGCCGCGGGGGGCGGACTCCTCTCCGGAAGGAGGCCCTCGCTGGAGCCGCAGGCCCATTGGATCGCTCGCCTTTCCAGGGGGGCGCTTCCCGTCACAACAGTGTCGGGAGGGACTTGGGAGGAGGGGAGTTGGGACGGGTGGTCTGCAGCATCGCTGCTGCACCCTGGGTGTACTCTGGTCCCCCCCCCCCATCATATTCTCGGCCCTCTCCCTGCTACGCGTACTCCCCATCAGCATACAGTCCGCCTTCGCCGCTTCATCCTCATCATCGCCTCCTCTGACCCCTATTGCTACTCTTCCCCCCCTTCCACCCTCATTACGCCTCCTTCCCCATCCTCCTCTTCTTCCTCCGCGGCGCTGAAATCCCAAATCGGCCGATCCGGCGTGTGAGTGTCAAAGACCCTCAGATATAGCCTGAGCCGAAGTTCTTGAGCTTCAGCTCTGCTGGGGGGGTAGGTGCCGGGGTGGCTCTGCTGGGGTAGGGGGGGGGTCCGAGTCAACTTCTCTGGCAAAATCGGAGCTCCAGCTCACTCCCGTCGGCCCCTTGCCACGGAGAGCTCGAACGCGGGCTCATAAAAAACCCAGCGGCCGCCCAGACGGCCCAAGAGGGCCCTGAGTGGCCAAAACATCGCTCCAAGACACTCAATATGTTCCTCAGAAGGTTCCAGAAGCCTCCAACGTACCTTCCCGACACCTCCTACGAGGGCCCAAAGACGGAAAATCTGTCCCATTCCCTTGGGAAAACGTGCATTTGTTTGCATTTTCGCTTCTTCGGCCTTCGCAGTGTCCAACATGGCCCAAGAGACCCCAAAACAGGCCCAGAGGCTCTCAAGAGGGCCCCAAGTCGGCCCAAGAAGGGCCCAAGACGGCCCGGGAGGCCCCCAAGACAGCCCAAGCGGGCCCCAGGACGGGCCCATGAAGCGCCCAAGAGGGCTCCATGACGGCCCCAGAAGGGCCCAAGACGGACCAAGGCGCCCAGGAGGCACCAAAATGGCCCTAGGAGTCCCCAAGAAACCCCGAGAGGCTCCAAGTGGCCCTCAAGAGGCCCCCAAAAGGCTACACACCCCCAGGAGGCCTCCAGGAGGCCTCCTGCATGCCCACCAAGAAGCCCAAAAGGCCCCCAAAGAGGCTCAACAATCACCTCCAAGACGCCCCCCCCAGGAGACCTCGAAGATGCGTCGTAGAGGCCCCATCAAGAAGCCCACGCAATGCCTCCAAGCTGTTTCCAAACCAATTACGTTTGAACAAGCGCGCTGGGGCGAAAGCGTCCTTCTGACAGCGGGATCGTCCTGGATCGGCGGCACCGACCAGAGGCCTCTACAATATGGTGTTCTAGTACGGTTGAGAAATGTCAGACGGTTTTCTTCTAACAACCAAAAATCGTGTAGGAACCTCTGACGAGGGAACCTGTAGGAAGGGTCTTGTTTGCCACATCGTTGGCGCATCTTGGGTTTACACCTGCCTCCTCATCATCCTCCATCATCCTCCTCTTCCCTCCTCTTCCTCCACCGCAACCCCTCCTGCGCCTCCTCCTCCTCCTCCTCCTCCTTCAACTCCTCCTCCTCCACCTCCACCTCCACCTCCACCTCCTCCTCCTCCTCCTTCTGGAAAAGCCTGGTCACCTTGAGGCCAGGCGAACTAGAGGGGCCCAGGGACACACAAATGCCTGGACACTTCTCCCTGGATTCCCCATCTGTTTGTACATGTTCTGCAGTTTCGTCTTCCCCCCCACTTCCCATATGTTCCACACTTTCCTGGGAATCGACGACTATTTGTGTCTGTGCATTCTTTCCCTCCTGACGAACACGCCTCTGGCAACACCCGAATCCCTCCCCATGCCAGGCGCCATCGGTGAGGGGGCGGCCTGGGCTTGTTCAGCGAGTTCACGCTGATCATCTGGCCCTCGTCCTTGCGGCGCGGCCGGTGACCGTTTGTTCAGCGGCCTATCGAGGCCCACACAGCCAGTCACAAAAACGAGCAGCTGCTGACCTTCCACGGCAACAGCTGCGCAATAGTCACAACTACGGTGCACTCGCGCTGGGCCGCTGCAGAGGTCACCGCCCAGGCGCAAATTGGAAAACAAGCACAGGCACCAATGGCACAACTTGGAAAACAAGCACAGGCACCAATGGCACAACACTCTGGACGACCTGCCTGGTCATATCTTCGGCCAGCGGCCGGCCGATCGGTAGGATCACGCGCGGGTGGAGCCATGACGGGAGGCGCTTATCGCGCATGCGAATCGGACCCACGCAGGAGCGGGCGTTGACGAAGGTGCCCCTGGCCCAACGTGTCCCCAGGATCCACGAGGTCCAGACGGTCCTCCGAGCACCCTTCACGAGACCCCAGAGGGGTCCCAGGGGCTCCAACCTGGGACGACAAGCCTGGGGCACCCTGGGCCAGGGCCACCGCGCCAGGCAGAAGTCGCGGGACGAAGGCGAAAGGGGCACCGGCCACGCAGGAAAATTGTGAAGG